GTGGGTGGGGGGTGTTAGATTTAACTGATCAACCAATCAATTGATCGATCGATCAGTCAACAGTTGTTGCAGTTAATAGGTCAGCCCAATCAATGAAAATAATCAATTATAGTTTAAGCATAGTCGCGGGTCGCCTTTCTTCCTTCGCCATCACGAATTTATCTGGCAAATAAAAAAAATAAACAACAGAGACCGAAAGGGCAATCTTTAACTGCACTGTAACCCCTTCTATTAGCACGCCCTGAACTGAACACATACTTTTTCTGACTCCCCCTTAACGTTGAGTACATTTTGGTTATGCCATTGCGCGTGTTATATCGAGAGCACACTGCCAACTGGATTCAATTTGACTGAGTCACGGCAAGTCGGATTAATTTTTGTCTCTCCACCGAGGGGCAAAAGCTGCCACTTTGGCACAGTTTGACTCGGATTCGATTACATTCTGTCTGTCTTACTTTTTACCAACACTGAATAGCATTTGTAGTGTCGAACAAGTAAAAACAAACAAACAATCAAACAAACAAAAAACACACACAAAAAAGCACACACACACACACACACACCAACACACACACAAACAAACAAACAGCACGAAGATATAAACATGAAATGGTATAAGTTTAACGCCCCTATCAACACTATTTGGTTATTTAAGAGGCGGGACCTCCAAGTTTAGCGTCCATCTCCGATAGGACCGAGCCAAGTGGGAAATTCGTGTAAAGTGCCTTTCCCAAGGACACAGCGTCGGGCCGAGCTGAGGCTCGAACCCCCGAAACCGTAATCTCATGATTACGAATCCTGTAGCCTAACCACTAGGCCACCGACGCCACACGATGATATAAGTATAAGAAAGAAAATCAGGTTGCGTTTCTGTGTTGATTTACTGACCCGTAGTTACAGCTGCCTGCCAGTGTATGTCCCTCATACGACCTTATGCAGTTGCGAGCACCCTCAAACTTACCACACAAAAAAGAAGAAAAAAAAGAAAAAAAGAACGAAAAAAGCCCCATCGCTACACCACAGACGCCAGCTCATGATAAATAACTTGCAGCTGAAATATTTCGTTACGGGTGAAAACTCGATCGTTGTGGCTCACACTCACACCTCACTGATGTCTACGTGGTGATCAAAAGTGGCTTTGAGTGAAGAGTTTCTGCAGTCAATTTTACCAGCCGGACAAAGTTGAGAAAAATTGCATCCAACTCATGGTAGACCTGTTTCTTTAGATATCTACATCTTTGGTGAACCTGACATTTTTGCACGTTTCTGTAAAAAAATTAATTTAAAAAATAAATAAATAAATAAATAAGACGGCCAGAAGTTCACGTGGCTCTTGCCTACCCTGGGGCGGTGAGACGTAAGGATTCTTTTCGCCACATCAGATTTGATGAATCGCGGAGGGGAATTTGGTTTTGAAAAAGCCGACGTGGCTTGTGAGCTTTTTGGTGTGTTTTCTTTTTGTATTTGTTTTGTTTTTGTTTTTTGGGCTGATTCATTTATTTTATTTTTTTTTTTTGGGGGG